TAGCTTTAAGGCATATATTTGGGAATTTCTTAATCGCTGTGAATATAGTGTGGATGTTTGTTCAGTTCCTGAACAACGAAAAATATTCAACTTTTTTTCAACCTGAATGGTTTTGTGGGAATATCAATCTAAGGTGCCATAATGGTTCTGATGAACGGCAAGTAAATGAATGAATGTTTGGAAACGAGCAATATCTTTTGGTAGAGCCTGCCATCAAGTAGGTGCTTAATGGCTATCTGCAAGAGGTTTATAGGAAAAAACACCCAGTATCGCATATCAATTGAAGAAAATAATATAAAAATGAATAAAAAATCAACAATAGTATTTAAAACATTAATTTTATTCAAAAATCCAACATTTCTTTAAATTTTGACTGAATTATATGTAATTTCTTAATATTCAATAAGCTGGTGATGTTTCAATGACAAGCTGTCATCTCATAGTTTGACAGTATTTTGTTTTCAACATTTTATAGCTATTGGTTTCTAAAATTTGTTGATTGGAACTTGAAGCTCATTCGTTGTATTTGACGGGCTGTTACCCTATAGGTGGAGAATCACGGACTGTTGTTGGTGAAATTGGCCCTGAAGGGTGAAAAAGGAGTACGAGTAACATGCATAGGATAAAAGTTAGTATATTAGTATAGCTTGAAAATTAATGCTTCGCTTTGATATTTGAATTACTGCTTTTATGCTTAGGAGATGTAATAATATGAAATATTTGAGAAATTAAAACAATAACTATTTTTGCTAAGAGACATCCTCAATGACATATTTTCTGTTTGTAATCGTAAAGGAAATGTATTGTTAAAATTTAAAAAGCTCAGCAGTACGAGTATTATTGTTGAGCAGCAAATTTCACGGATAGCATGAGATTGTAGTAAGGATGAGGTTGTCACTGCACTACCTTTAAGTGTTTGGAACAGCCCATGGGATTGCGACAACGCAGGAAACTAACGCAAATATCAGAAGTATTGGTTTCATGTTTAAACTAGAAATTTTCTGAATTACAATTAACTATGCAATAGAATCATAACGACCAATAGAAAATTAAATGCTCGGTACAGAAATTGGGCATTACCTAGGAGAATAAAAGTAATAGTTGTATACATATAGCACGAGTAGAATGACAAATTAAACGTGCAAGGTATAATAGAAGATTAGGTGTTTAGTAGACAAAGGGTAATAAAAATTAATTATCCGTTGTATGCTGTATGCCTCAATCAGACAAAAGGATATAATAGATAATTAGGTAGTCTCGTAGAATCGGGGAGTCATTTAACAGTTTAAAAAGGAATATGGCAGATGAAACTCTCATCCTATATTCTACATAAGATATGAATTTGAAAATCTCACATAGCACCATATTGCTAATCTCTTGCTCAGGGTAGACTCCTTCAGACTTGAAACAGAGAAATTCTTGAAAATTTTTTGTACCCTTCCAGTATCGCTTACATGGGTTTGGTAATATGGATTCGATATAGCACTCCCTTATTCGATTTGGTCCGCACATGACTATGTAGACTATAAAGCTTTTAAGGCCGCTATGTTACAAAATTCCGAGACGTTTTGCGAAATTTGCACCTATACTTACAGTATATTCAGATAAGAGATAGACCGGACATAAACAAGACCACGTGATCATCGAACGCTGTAACATTCGGCAGGGACGTATTAAGAGTCACGCAGTACGTATTTTAGATAGTAGATGCTGCTTTGCGTAACTTTGTAGTAAATTAGCACAATTCGATGTGTATACGATTGGTGATGGATATAGGATCATGTGGGGGTGGGGTAAGAAATATATAATGATGTAAATATACATAAGGGTTTCAAAATTTTCGCTTCGATTTCCAGCTTCGGATGCCGCCTGATGTTTGGTGAAATACAGTCGAATATAATCTCAAAATGGCGTTTAAATTAGCCTAAATTAAAAATAATCGTATATCTCTTAAAATTGCTTTTAGAATATTGATTAGTATATTTTTTCATTCCTAGGTAACTATGTAACCAAATTAAAACGTTCAAAACGTAAAAAAATGTGCATGGTTGAACATTGTCAGAAAGTAGATTTTTGAATAGGTTTTACCAAAATGGGTTCAAAAATGTCAATAATTAATTAAAAATACAGTAGCTTTATAATTACTTATAACTTACCGAATTTGATGAACGAAATCTTTTATTGGAAAGATGAGCTTGATGAGCTTTCATCATCGCTACTGCCTGAAGCACCAACGTCAATAATGAATGGCTCGACTTGTTCCTCTAAAATATTGTCCAGTTCCCACATTCTCTTTTCAACTTTGTCTTTCACGTGCTTAGTACAGTTTTCCCATTTTTGCGCTGTTATTAATTCTAGTGCTTCTTTGAAAAGTCCTTTGAGGTCACAAAATTTAAAAGTTGTATTGTGCTTAGCTATATAATTTTTAACCTCTACCCATATGAGCTCAATGGGATTGAGCTCGCAATGGTATGGAGGTAAACGGAGCACAGTTTTATTTTGACTTGCTGCCATTTCGTCAATGGCGTATTTTTGATATTCCGCCTTGTGATCCTTGACAATTCTTAATAATTGTACTTTCAGCATTGCTTCTTCAAAGTTGATATTTTTCGAGCGGAGCCAATTTTGAACATCAACTTTCCTTGAAGCCGTTGTTGGGACCTTCTCCATTCTTCGAGAATGATGAGGCTCATTATCCAACACAATTACTGCGTTTTCCTCTAAGTTCGGTAAAATTTTTGAAAACCATTGTTCAAACGATTCGCCATTCATTTCCTCGTGGTAATCTCCAGTTTTCTTAGACTCAAAGCACCACAGACCGTCAACAACAAATCCATCCTCACTGCCAATATGGCAGATAATGAGCCTTTTCCCTTTACCTGGAAATCGAAGTACTAACTGGTGTAGATTTATTTCAATAAGCGAACCTTTTTCAAATGTTTGAAATACGCGCAAATATTAATATTAACAAATTATAACTTTATAAAGCTTAAAGTATGAATTGAAATGATTAGAAGTATTAGGAACGGTACACAATATAAAACTTAGTAATTTTTTTTAAGTTTATAATATTCGACATATTTTAAGATTATATTAAAAAATTATTGAAATATCGAAAACACATAAAAACATGGCTTAAAAAAGTTCTAACAAATGAAAATGACAATAAAACATCCACGCATTTTATCGAAAGTTATAAAAGTTTTGTTACTTGTAATATGTTTTATCTGCCCCCTGGAATTAATGTTTAGAACCTTGTTCCCAAGGTTTGAAAAACATCCGATTGTTGTCTTTTACTCGTATTTACCTGCTGGATGTTTTAATCCGGTGGACAGTCCATCTAGAAAGGCCCTCCTGGATGAAGTTACAGAATCATCAACCCATACCTTACTTGTAGTGTGTCCTGCGTTTACCCACGTTTCATCAAGGTAATAAATCTTCCTGTTTTGATTTCTATATTTCCCAATTTTTGTTAAATAATCCCTCCTCCATAGCACAATTTCTTCTCTATCCAGTAGTAAACTATTACGACCCCGTTTTTTCCATTTGAAATTTAAATGCTTCAGTAACGCATGGAAAGTTGATCGTTTGAAATTTGGCAACGTTGTATCTCCATTTACCTCCTGCAGTACTTTATCTATAGTAGGTATTTCATTCCTAAAGAAGAATTCGTGCACTTTCCTCCTAATCGCATGCTTATCAGCTTCATCCAATGATTTAACAATACTTTTGCGATGTTTACTGGTCATTGGCTCAGAAAAGGTGTGATTTTTTTTGTATTGTTTTAACACATTAAACACTGATGCGCGACACACCCCAACTTTGTGAGAAACCTTCACAACAATTTCTTTGATGGTTGATGCCTCGCTATCCTCGCGCTCGATCTTATATATATTCAAAATGACCTCTTTCATTTCTGCACTCAGGTGTCTTTTTTTAGAGCGTTTCCTAGGTGGACTACAGGAGTTTACAACTTCATCGGCAGTATCTGTACTACTGGGCATTTTGCGCAAGCAGTTGATAACAATAACAATCAATAACAAGGTATAACAATAACAACGACAAACTCAAGATGTAATTTGTTGAGATCACACCAAAATTGAATCCTATTTAACTGCATTTGTAAGACTGAGTCATCACTGATCAACGAAAATATATTCAAGATCATTTATGAATAATAAAAATAACAGTAGCCCCAAGTTAGACCCCTGTGGAATACCAGATCGAGCTAAGTATGCTTCAGTTTTACAGCAACAAATTGTTTCCGCTCCGCTAACTATGACTTGAAGGATCATAGTAGGGAAACTGTTGTAGGTGATTAAGACATCGATCTGTTATTAGATATTATTCACCATCTGACAAGGTAATTTACCTGAATCAATAGGGCCTTTGATATATTACTAAAGCTGGGTAATAAAGGGAGGGGTTTCGCTTGGTTTCTTTTTTAAATTGGTATTTACACTACACTCTTCAATAATATGTAACACTCGATGCTTCATTCAAAAGAATACACCTTCCGATTATTTATGAAAAACAATTTCAGTTAAATGGCTGCCGCGGCTGACCTCTTAACCCAATTTTGAAGCACATTTTCGATAGTTTGCTCACAGCGGAAATTTGACACAATATATCTTTCAATATGTTGAGCATGGAAGTGTTACCAACTGTCAAAATAATACCTGCTTAAAAAAACAACTGATCGCCCACACTTCACTTTTCAAGTTCTTTGTTTTTTTTTTCGAAGACACTAGCATATTATGAAGCACCCTAAACATACAGGGAAAACCAAATTCGTCTGACGGCTTGTGTTCAATGTGTGTTCAGAGATTTGTCAAATTGCTGTACAACACGTGCAGATAACACCAAAATATTGGAATAAACCAAAGACAATATGGAAGACGCCAAGAATATATTAATCTATTAAAACTCAAATATTTCTGTTTCAATTCAGCGTTATAGATATAAAGTGATAGACATTGGAGTAATTTTGTCTTAATATAGGATTTGTGGAAGGTTGTAGGTTGACAGAAATTGCGTCATCACTTTGTAGGATAATTACAATAAAATTTGCTACGCATGTCATTCAATAGTCCTATATTACAGTGCAAAAGTCTATCGAATACCTACTTGCGTATGAAATTCACAATGGCCGACATGTAAGTAAACCATGTGAATGTAATGTGTTAGTTATATGTAGATATCACATAAGAAATAAAGGATGTTCCATAATCTACGCAAGATTTGAAGCTGCCGCCATGTTTGCAGTAAATTGTAGGTAGCCCTGGAAAAAGAACAATTTGACAGTTGAGATACGATATAACAACGTGTTTTGATTATCGAGCAATATTTCAAAAATAATGAAAGCTTAGCGTCCGCTGTTCGAAAATCTTATACGAAATATGGCCGGAATAGCGTTTTAACCTCGTTAACTGTGGAAAGACTAATTGAAAAATTCAAGGAGACGCTAAACACACCGATCGTCCAAAAACAAGCCGCTTAAATGTCCATGTCAAAACAGTGCGTGCGAGTGTTGCAGGTGACCCAAGAACATCAATTCGGGGTCGTGGACAAGAATTGCAAATTTCAAGAAGCTCCCTACAGCGTATGCTCACAAAACATCTGGGTCTTCAGGCTTACAAAATTCAATTAACACAACTACTGAAGCCCAATGACCACAAACAGCGATGAAGCACAATTACACCATAGATTCGTGCTTATGGGGTTATTTAAAGTCAAAGGTCAAATAATGGAGCAACTACGTATCATCTGCAAAAGACTGGACATGAGAATTATCAATACTTTTTCTTAAGTCGAAAGTATATATGAGGAATAACATCGGCCCCAGAACAGAGCCCTGGGGTACACCTGAGGCAATTATTGTCACTGGAGACATTTCTTGATTGACAAAAGCTAACTGAGTTCTTTGACGAAGGTAAATGCCGAAAAATTAAAAGGATAGATTTCCAAGTCCTATGTAATTTATTTTAGCAAATAATTATTATTGTTGCTGCCAACGAATTTTGAATAGTCTAGCGCCATTTTCTTATATCAGGCACTTAAAATTTTGTCTTGCAGATTGGGTACGACAATTTTTTCTAAAACCGAATTGAGGATCGGGAAGTATAAAGTATTATTCTAGGTAAGCGGTCAACTGGAACTTTACTATTTTTTGTAAAATTTAGGATAAAATTGGTAACAAACTGACGGGTCTGAGATCACTATTCACAGCGGGTTTCATTTGTCAAAAAATTGGAGTAATTAGAGCTTGATTCCATGTGTTGAAAGGTAGCCTTTTTCCAAACAGTCGTTAGGGATGTAGACGATGCGATCGAGAACAACTGGAAAGCAAAGCTGGATGGATCATTGACAGAGATATATCATCAATTCCCGTTGCATCAGATTCTAGGCTCCTTATTCCCGTAAAACTGCTCCATATAAATACCAGCTTATATCACCTGATTGATAACGTATACATAAAACGTATGAGTCGTTGCAGTACCTTATATCCTATAAATCAACCAGTTCGTAGACGGCGAGTCACAAAGACGTAATGAAACAACTTTTTAAATAAAATGCATGCTGTAAAATATCTATACAGGGTGTTTCAGTTTATTGTTGCATAACTTTAAGATACGATAGAACTTTTAAAATTAATGTATAAAGTCTATATAAACATGGGTCGAAAACTGCGTGGCTTCCGAAATACAGGGTGTTTAAATTTACTTTTTAAAATAGTTTTTTTTAAATATTTTGAACAATATTCGATGTATAACAGTGAAAATTGGTTTTTTGGTACGACAAAACGAACCATGGACATAGTTTTACTGTAACCGCTAGAGGGCGCTCTCTACTGTACCTGTAGTGTATTAAAATGACCGAAATTTTTTTCTTAGTGCAAGTTTTTGCTTTTTGAATAAAAAAACTGATTCTCCGCACTTTTCAACATAAAAAAGCTCTCTTGTGAATTTTCGTTGTAGTCAGCCGTTTTCGAGATATTTCGATTTTTAAGGTTCGATGCATTTTTAATTATTTATGATAAAATAACGTTAAAAAGTCAGTATCTGGATAATTTTTAGAAGTAGGCTGTGCCTGCAAATATTTTTGAAATTGAAAGCAGAATAAGGTTAAACGTCAATTAGTTGACAGTTAGTTTTTTTGTCTGTTGAAACCTGAAACGTTTTTTTGCAATTGTGAATGCACGAAATTTAGTTTCTTTTACCTGTTTTTTTTGTAAGTTTTATAAAAATGACATTTTTATTCTCCAAAGAACAGTTAGAGGATATTCATTTTGTGTATGGCTTTGTAAATGGAAACGCAGCAGAAGCCGCCAGAGAATACGCACGAAGATTTCCAAACAGACGACATCCAACTCGCTCAGTATTTGTAAGAGTGCATCGCCAAATAATTGAAAATGGTTTTGGAAATCACCAAAGGGTTCAAAACATAAATGTTCGTCAGCGCAGATTTACCCGTATGATTCGGCGTGAGGTTGATAGAGATCCGACCACAAGTGTTAGGAGAGCTTCTGGTATCTTAGGAATTTCAGCAAGCCATGTTCACAGTGTTCTTAGAAATGACCATAGACGTCCTTACCATTTGCAACCTGTGCAAGGACTACAGCCAGGGGACGGAGAACGAAGAATCACATTTTGTCAGTGGATTCTTGATAGAACTGATAATAATAGGGAGTTTTTAAGTAACGTGTTATGGACCGATGAGTCATGCTTCACCAGACGTGGAGTGGTCAATTTTCATAATCAACATATTTGGTCGCATGAAAATCCGCATGCAATGCGGGAAAGAAATTTTCAGCATGAATTTAGTGTGAACGTGTGGATTGGTATCTACCGTAATCGACTATTTGGACCCTACCTTTTGCCTGCAAGGTTTAATGCTGCGACCTTCTTGGAATTTTTAAAGGCTGAGCATGCAAATATGTGGGATGATTTTATGTTAGATTTAAGAAGATTGGCCTGGTTCCAGCTTGATGGTTGTCGAGAATAGTTAGAAACTGGCTGGACGAAAATTATCCAGAAAGATGGATCGGCCGTGGACGACCAGTCGCCTGGCCTCCACGATCCCCTGACCTAAATCCATTACATTTCTTTGTGTGGGGATTTCAAAAAGAAAAAGTGTACCAGACTCCCGTAACCACAAGAGATATGCTAATAGACAGAATCAGGAATGCATGTGATGAAATGAGGCCTTATTTGAATAGTGCTATACCACTTTCGATCATTCGTAGATGTGAATTGTGAATAGAACAATTGGGTTTACATTTCGAGCAACTACTTTAGATTTTGTATGTTTGTCCTCACTATCCAATAGCATTTTAGTTGTAAATAATTGATTTAATTTGTTAAAAATAATATTGGAAAATTAAACAAATTAATATTCTGTTTTTTTGTGCTTATTTGGAGTTAGGAATTATTGCTGTGTTTAAAAACACAATCTGAATTATCATTTTAATTACTTGTAATGCCCAAATCGAAAATGTAAAAAAAAATATTATTTTCCCATAAATAATTAAAAATACATCGAACCTTAAAAATCGAAATATCTCAAAAACGGCTAACTATAAAGAAAAGTCACAGGATAGCTTTTTTATGTTGAAAAGTGCGAAGAATCAGTTTTTTTATTCAAAAAGCAAAAAATTGCACTAAGAAAAATTTTTCCGTCATTTTTATACACTACAGGTACAGTAGAGAGCGCCCTCTAGCGGCTACAGTAAAATTATGCCCATGGTTCGTTTTGTCGTACCAAAAAACCCTTCTGTACCAATTTTCACTATTATACGTCAAATATTGTTCGAAATATTTAAAAAAAACTATTTTAGAAAGTAAATTTAAACACCCTGTATTTCGGAAGCCACGCATTTTTCGACCCATGTTTATATAGACTTTATGCATTAATTTTAAAAGTTCTATCGAATCTTAAAGCTATGCAACAATAAACTGAAAGATCCTGTATAAAATACTTGGATGGTGAAAGTAGATTTTGAGCTCCAAGAATGACATGTCAAAGGCCTAGAATAATTTTTTTAAGTGGGTACGGTTTTTTTTTTCGAAAATAAATCCTTAATTTTTTTATTTTGAGCTAACCTTAAGCATACCGATTTGTCAATAATATATGAATACCGTTAACTTTTTTTTGAGACATTTGTGTACGGAGTTTGCGTTCGTCCTGGAATTATTTTTTAAAAAAATCACTACTACTTGTTGTTCCTGCACATGTTTCTGATGAATGCTATATGGCGTAGGCATAATGAATGCCGCATAAGAGCAGAAAGGCTTAGACTCCAATGATCACTAAAAACTTATGAACAATGACTCGAGGAATGAAAGTACTTTTTTTATATTTTCTCTGCTCGTGTCTCCGAAATGGAGGTATTTTGAAAATTTAAAGAACGACATAGCCTCAGAGTAGACCAAGTAACATATTTTGTGATTTTTCATATCTACCTTTTTATTCAAATGGTTCTTGTATTCTTTGGCAAATATCCTGAGCAGTATTAATACAATCCTCCAATGTTAGAAAATTGTTTTTGGTAGGTTTACATCCACCATAAACCGTTTCCTGGCACTGCATTGTCACCATGTCCCACTTATAACTCAAAAAATGAGCTCTGCATCTAATCGGGCCCATTTCGACGTCCTTGAAACAATCTTGAAACAAAATATTACGTTTGTACAGTTTATGATACGTTCAAAACCAAACTTGTCTGACGGCTTGAGTTCAACATGTACGAGACGTGTGTATAGGCAAATATTTTAGAAAAAGCTCTAACCGCGTTGCCTAGCAACGCTGACGCGGCAATCTGTCGCGTTGCCGATATGTTACATCAGTTCGTTGAATTTAGATACATGTTGAAAATATGCGTTAGTTTATTCTCTACTACTCGTACTAGTACTACTGATAGCACTACTACAGTGGAAAACATTTTAATGTTCACGTAACAAATATGGCGCTGGTGCGCTTGACTGTTCGTCACACTATGAGGAAAAAACTGGAGCTTTACAGAATAGAGTTAGTAACGTTTAACGGTTCCTATCAGCTCAAAAATACCACTTACAAATTTTGATAATAAAAAACATTTTCAAATGTTTGATTGTAGGCCAGGGAATAGGTAAACTTTGCCTACAATTTTGGCGTATTTTTTTTTGTGCAACCGTTAGAATGTTGTCATCTAATGGTGAGTTCATGTTGGCATCATGGCTGAAGCATTTTCCTCCATTTTGATTAAGTGATAGAAACATTTTCGCAGCAAAGTGATTTCTTTATAATATTCCTCCTATGCAATTTTTTGATGTACTCAATAGGTTCAGAGAATTTTACACTCAATGTAATGATATTTTTACATAAACTAACAACCTAAGGCCATACGCGGGATGTCTTTTAAGTTTTGCATCTACAGGGTGTCCCAGAAGTCGACGTCAAGCCGAAACCGGGTGATAGGCAAAGTCATAACAGCTATCAGAAAAATATTTAAAAAAATTTTATGTATGTGTTTTGAAAATTATAGGTCTTTGAAAAAATATAGAAATTTCACACCCTACGGCAGTCTGTCAACTCCTGTTACTACAAATATTAACTTTTTTTGGATTTTATTTTTACAATGTAATGATGAATAATGCATCTTCAAACTGGTGTCTCAACCTTACTGCCAACTTTTCTCGTTCAGGGAAAATTGCCACTTATTTCCCAACCAAGTATTCCAAAGTAAAACTTTGCTCAACTTTAACTGCCTGTACTAGAAAAAATGTACTACGAGAGTTTGGCAAGTAACATTAAAAGTTGGCGCATTTAATAAAGATTCCAAAATGGTATAACACTCAGAATATTACTCGTTAACTTATGAACAATTTCTATTTGAAGAAAAACTGATGAACATTTTTCAAAATTTTCTAATTAAACAGCGATTTTGAAAACGCACAAGGACCCTTAAGGATAACTGTTTGCACAACAGTGGGCGTCAAAATGCTGCTGATGATGATTTACCTTTACAGCAAATGTTCAAACTGTTGTCCTTCAGCCGCAATACACGTTCGACATTAAAAAAGATCGGGTTATTAAACGAGCGAATCCACGGTTATTAACAAACTCAGCTGCTTCCAATAGTCTTTGCCGTAGCTCAGCTACATTTTGAATCGGCTTGAAATACACTTGCAAAAAACCTAAATAAACCTCAGCAGTCAAAGACTCTGGGAACTCAAACGGACCGATTATTTTACCATTTAAAATTCCTGTCCAATGGTTTATCTTGAAGCGATATTGAGATTTATCTTCTCTCATCAAATGTGGGTTTGCTACGTGCCACTCGTGTAAGTTATGCAGGTTCATGTACCCATCTTTCTTAAATGTGGTCTCATCCGACCATAACATTTTTTCAAGGAACCGTGGATCTTCCCTGTGTCTTTCTAACATTGTGCGACAAAAAGCAACTCGGGGCTCATAATCCCGGGGCAGAAGGGCTTGAACACGCTGTATGTGGTATGGATGAAGCACGTCACTTACTTGTTATTGCACACAGCCCAAAAAACAAGTCAGTATTTAACGGAAGAAAACGTGGAATTATTGTACCATCCTCCATATAGTCCCAATCTAAGTCCTAACGATTTCTTTACTTTCCCGAAAATTAAAAACAGACTGCGTGGTTAAAGGTTCCAGTCACGTGAAGAAGCAGTTGACGCATTCAAAAATGCCGTTTTGGATCTGCCAGCAAGCGAGTGGAATGAGTGCTTCGAAAATTGGTTCGACCGCATACAATAAAGTCATTTAAAACTACCTACCGAGTTGTTTTATTTCCATATGCAAAACTTAAAAGACATCCCTCGTAAAGACTCTCATTCTTTTTTGTAGAGAATAATATTTTCTCCAAAAAGGTCCTTTACGTTTTTTCGGCACCTTCAAGTGAAGCAAGAGTCAAAAATTTTCCACCTTTGTAGGCGACCCATTTCGACATCCTTGAAGCAATCTTGGAATGAAATAAAGATTGTGTTATTTTTTACATGCCCAGCATGCCCCCTTTTAACGCGGAAACCATAACAAAATTATCTTAGGATAGATCAAATGATAAACATGGTAGTTACCGCCTTGAACTTTTACTAGATGTTTGAGAAATATGTACCTAGTATAGGATATGATTATGCATATTTACCATCATAATCGAACGGTTCTTCAAACGCTCTGCTACCGCCGTAAAAATAAGGCACTGGATAACCACGTGATTGAACAGCTACAGCAGAACACAGAGCGAACATCAAAGTTATCAGCTTCATGGCTAACACTAGTCTTTGGCCAGTTTAGCTGTTAGCAAAAATTTGATTGATCTTATATACTCCAACACACAATATGATGATTAAGAAAAGCTCGACACATCTACGAAAGGTTAGCAACCATATCTTTTATTGCGCATAAACGTGATTGGCTATAATACACAATGCAACATAACGTAACTAGAGTATTGATACTTTGCTGTTAGCTAATTGGTGATCCATTACGTGAAACAATGAAGACTCTTGGAATATACTGTAATTATATTACTTCAAAAAGGCTTCCGGTAACTGAGGGGTAGCGTTCCTGTTCCTACTTCCAACGCCAAGTGGCGGGGAAGTATTGTAGTCGCGAAAATCTTCGAACAGTGATACTATGTTTTTTGTATGTTATATGATATGTTTGTAGGTTACGAAAAACCATGTCACCCAATCTTCATCTTAGTCTTTATTAACCACTTAGATACAGAATAGTACATGTGGTAAAAAAAAATAGTAAGGTATATAAAAAAAATGAGGGTGTTTCAGAACTAAGGGATCAAACTTCTAGGGGTTATTAACAGTAGAAAACATTTGAGTATAGGGAGGGACCCATATCCGGAAAAGTGTCACTACGGCACTACGGCCCTAAGACGCGTTAAAATTCAGAAAGACGATGAATTGCCTAAATAGGATTTAATGCATTTAATTTTTGCCTTCTGTACGTGATATCATCATAACAATTGCAACCTGAATACACCGATTTAAACGTCGCACATGATTTCGGCGCACTTGAATAAAAACTTGATACTCGTTTTGAATGATTTCAAATGCTGCTGTAATTCGTCCAATTAAGTCTTGCTCTGTTTCTACTGGAGTTTCGAAAACCCAAGACTTTACATGTCCCCACAGGAAAAAATCTAGCGACGTTAAATCGGGTGATCTAGGAGGCCAAGAAACTGCTCCACCTCTGGCAATCCAATGGTACCCAAACCGCTGAGCCAAATACTCACGTACTTGTACAGCAAAGTGAGCCGGCGCTCCATCATGCTAAAACCACATTTGCTGTAGAACGTTCGAAGGAACATTTTCAAGAAGTTCTGGAAGAACTTCCCCCAAGAAACGCCGATAAATAGGTCCTGCTAACCGTTCCGGTAGAAGGTATGGCCCAATCAAATAATCATCAACAATGCCTGCCCATACGTTGGACGATCAGCGTTGCTGATGTTTTCTTGCACGGGGATTTTCTTTGTCCCAAACTTGGCTATTCCTACTATTAAAAATACCGTCTCTTCTGAAAGAGACTTCATCGGTCCATAAAAATTTGGTTGTGCAGCGACTTGATGAAGAAGCTATTGACAAAATTGAACTCTAGGTTGATAATCGGGGCTGCAGTCAATCCTTGAACTTTCTGGAAGTGGTAAGGATAAAGTTGTCGGTCGTGTAGCACCCGCCAGATGGAAGCGTTACTCGTATTCATATCCTCAGCAATGTGACGTGTGCTACTTGATAGTTCGTCGGGAACTCGCTGAAGGACCTCTGCTTCAAATTCGACCGTTGTTACGTTTTGAGCAACACCAGTATCATGCATGTTGGTTTGAAACATGCCTGTCTCGGAGAGCCGCCGATGAATAGCAATAAACTTTTTGTATCTCGGATGCTGTCGTTCGAGATAACGTTCTTGATACAACCGCGCTGCTGCTCGTGCCTTGAAGCTTGTTGCTCCGTTTGCCAAATGCATATCCGCCAATTCTTGATTGGTAAAGTTTACCATTAAAAACAATTAATTTTTGTTAAATTCTGGCAAACTTCACAAATACGATAGCACGACTAAGGCGATATGGAATGCAGCTACAAAAAACAATCTATGTTAGCGTTTTTAAAGATAACAACAGGCAAGCACCGGATACGGGTCCCTATACTCAAAATTTTTCTACTGTTAACGCCCTATATAAATAAAAATCAACCTAAGTATAACAATTCATACAAATGTACTTGCTTGAGATATATGCAAAGCGCATCTGCATTTTCTTATTCAACCTAGAAATTACACATTTAAAAGTGCTGAATTTTAGAAAAGAGAGCGATAAGAAAAGAAAATCAAGAAAGTCTCTAGATGGTGAAGTAAAGGGTTTTCCATTAAGGGCTTGACAACTTTCTTTAAAAAAAAAACACACATTTCGACACAAACGACCGCTATTTCTCGTTTAATATTGGTTCTGAGCTGCTCTAACAACGCCAGCTTATTGACATAGACCAACGATTTGATGTAGCCAGACAAAAAAAGTCTAGAGGTGTTAAGGCGGCCATTCGACAGGACCATTTCTCGATACAACACGTTCACCCTATTTTCATTCCAATATGTTGATTGTTTCACCCGCTGTGTGGCTTGTGGCACCGTCTTGTTGAAACTACATATTAATGTCTAGCCATCCAATTGACCAAAAAACAATGTTGCAACATGTCTCTGTAGCGACCTCTGTTGACTGTAACGGCACTTGGACCAACCCGTTGTCTCACTGGCACGGGAACATTCACCAGCGAATATGTTGACTCACTAGACTATGAATTGCTTGTCTACTGGGACGAGATTTACCACCAAAAGTTGGCGTTAACGCTCTTAAAATTGCAGTCACCGCCTCGGAATTTCGCTGGTAAATTTTAATTATTTGTAAGCGCTGTTAGTGCGTGTACTTTACTGAATGTTTTGACATTGACAGTTCAGTAATTGACTTAAAGGTGCGTTCACAGTGAAGGTTCAAAGTGGTCAAGTCCCTATTGGAAAACTCCATATATTAAAGCTAACAGGTGAGAAAATATGGTACATACAGGATTAATCATGAAACGTAAAAAAGTTATCTCATTCCATATCAATTCTTATTTTCAGTCATTTAAATTTTACAGAAATTTATTTTGCAACGTCAAGTAGAAAATACAAATTAGCGCCGCAGAGCGAAAATCTTTTGTAAGTTATGCGTCGTTACTAATTTTTCAAGTTTTTGAAAATGCGAAAAAACGAGGAAAATCGTAATGTATAACTTTAAACATAACACTGGACAACAAATTTTAGTTTTTTAATTGTATCTTGTGGGAAAAGTGCACTTCTTTGTTAATTTTGGGGCGCTGAATCCAAAAATGACAATGAAATAAAAAAATTAGTTGCGGTTTAGAAAAAAAACTTTTTATTTTTAAGGATATATTAAAAAAAGTAACAAGATTCATATACTTATAAGAATCACTACATGCGCTGTCTTTTTGCTGTTCTTTTATGGATCGTTTCTGGAGCATCTCTACCAAGAGTCCAACAGTAGTCTGATTCCACTTTCCCTGGTACCTTTTTTCCATTGTTGAAATATCCTGATGAAAACGTTCGCCGTGCTCATCACTTACGGCTCCGCAATTGTCAGGAAAAAAGTCCAGGTGTGAGTATAGGAAATGTATCTTAAGAGACATATTACAGCCCATCTTTTGATACGATGACAGCATATTTTTGACAATGGTTTTATAGTTGTCAGCTTTTCTATTTCCCAAGAAATTAGTGACCACCAGACGGAAATCATTCCAAGCAGTTTTTTCAATACCTGTTAAAGTGTTTTCAAACTGTGTATCTTTCAAAATATTTCGAATCTGTGGCCCAACAAAAATACCTTCTTTAACCTTTGCCTCACTTAGTCTTGGAAATTTCTGACGCAGGTATTGAAAAGCTGACCCATCTCTATCTAATGCCTTGACAAAGTTTTTCATTAGGCCCAACTTGATATGCAGTGGTGGTAATAAAATTTTTTTCGAATCTACTAATGGCATATGCTGTACATTTTTTTGACCTGGGTCTAGGAATTGACGAACAGGCCAGTTTTGTCTGGTGTAATGAAGTGCCTTTGCCCGACTGTCCCATTCACACAAAAAACAGCAAAACTTTGTGTAGTCTAGCTGCAGCCCAAATAAAAGTGCAACAACTTTCAAATCGCCACAAATATGCCATTGGTGCTCATCGTATTTTATGCATGTCAATAGGTACTTCATATTGTCATATTATTCTTTCATGTGAACTGCATACCCTACAGGAAGAGATGGTAAAATATTTCCAATATGCAATTACACTGCCTTTAAACTCAATGTTGAACTGTCTATAAACAATCTCCATTCTTCTGGGTTATAGTTTATATTTAAAGTCGCCAGCAAACCCTTAATGTTACTGCAGAAAACCAAGTTATTTTCCATATTGGAAAATGGTTCTAAGTCTTTGTGGCGTTTACGAAAAACACATACCGAAACATCGTCTTCTAACAAGTTCCACTGCTGCAGTCTTGATCCAAGTAACTCTGCCTTACATTTTGGAAGTTCTAAATCTCTTACAAGATCATTTAATTCTGACTGTGTTATTTTGTGCGGTTGGTGGCATGACGTGCTCGGTATAAAATCAGGATCTCTTGACGTTGATGGCTTATCTTCTTCCTGACGAATCACTCGATCGCCATGATCTGATTCGTTTTCTGATTCGCAAGTGTAGGATTCTGGGGGTTTTGGAATAGGATTTTCGCCACTGTGAGGCACATGTCTCATCGCAGATAGTATGTTTGGGTAGTTAATAACCGATTTTTTTTTCTTGGACATACCTGTGGCTTGTCCAACACAAGGTACCATGCAAAAGTAACAATCATTAATATGATTTGTAGGCTCTCTCCAAACCATTGGGACAGCAAAGCGCATAGACCTTTTTTTGCCATTTAACCAGCTCCTCAGACTTGAAGCACATGTATTACAGCAGATGTGGGGTGCCCACTGTTTGTCTTGATCACCTAGTTTACAACCGAAATAAAGCTGATATGCCTTTGTAATTAGTGGAGTAATATACCGTCTCTGAGACGCAAAAGTCACATCACCACACACGTAACAAAACTGATCTGGATTGTTTACACACTTTCGAGACATCTTGCATGAACGCTGTCAGCCAACTGAGGAAAAAATGACTAATATAAAACAATATAATGTACACGTATGTATAACGTAACATAATCATGCCGATTACATCATCTTTCCTTGCCGAATATAAAAATGTAGCACGTGCATTCTTGTGAATTACAGTATATTAACACTGTCACAGCAGGAACACATATAA